TTATCTCATCCACATGACTGACTATTACAATAACATGGCATTCATTAAGAGCTTTCTGTGCTTCATTTCTCACAACTGTTAGCCACTGATGAAGCCGTTTGACTGGTTCCTTCTCCAATATATTGACTACTATCAGGAACACACCACCAGAACCTTGTAACAGATTCTCAATGACAGCACTGTGACTGGAGTAGTATTCCGAATGACCAGCAAAATCATGAAGAATGATGTTACCCAGTGTCCTGTGTTGTAGTTTATAAGGAATGATGCCAGCAGTACAGGGCACTACCCCTCCAACATTTCTAAAGGAACCAAGAAGAGTAAAACTAGCTGTGTCATTGATGACATGACTAAGAGTACTTTTACCAGCTCCAGGATTACCCACAAGGAGGACGTTAACATAAGAATCGATTGGATGAGATGATTTTATACCACCAAACTTCTTCAAGACAGAAAGAGTATCAGTGTTACCACTCTCCTTAGCTAGTTTAAATGGTGTGTTCCCCTTATTGTCTTTAGCCAATGGATCACATTTACCAGTTGATAGTAAATATTCAGCAGCTGCAGAACAACCATAATAAGCACTGGCAGCAGCATAGTGAAGAACAGTCTCACCATTATTGTCAGTAGCCATTGGATCACAGTGACACTCATTAATGAGATACTTTACAATATCAATGTGTTCAGCAGTACAGTGAAGAACAGTCTGACCACTATTGTTAGTAGCCATTGGATCACAGTGACACTCATTAATGAGATACTTTACAATATCAATGTGTCCAGCAGCACGGTGAAGAACAGTCTCACCATTATTGTCAGTAGCCATTGGATCACAGTGACAGTCATCAATGAGATATCTCATCACATCAACATGATTACCTGTCGCAGCCAAATGAAGACAAGTCCAACCATCATCATCTCTTTCGTGTGGGTCACAGTGATATTTAGTGATGAGATCTTTTGTAACATCTAACCAGCCATTCTCTGAAGACATATGAAGTAAACTAACATTATCACACACATATCTTCTTTTAATGTTATTCGGTTCCTTCACTAATGGTAGTAAGTGAACAGCTTCTTCATGATCTTTATTCCTAAACGCAACCCAACACTTGTCCTCTAAGGACATCTTGTGATCAGTTAATTAGATTCATTGATACCCGCCCACGCATCAGGAATTCATTATCAATACATGACGTACATTG